TCAGATCCCGAGGCGACTTGAAATAAATGGAAAACAAGCAATAGATTTCAAAGAGAGAACAAAAGACGAGTCCCTTTCATGTGTCACTTGTCAGTACGCGGGGGGTGGGGGAGTGTCTGTGTCACGGTGGCAGTGCTCAGTATTGCGCATATCAATGCTGATAGTTTATCGATTGTCCGGACACCTAGCCTATCTTTGAATGCTAAGCAGGGGAAACACGTTCTTTTTTTTGTTTATCATGTTGTAGTTGCGAAAAGGTCACCATTGTGTGCCAGCTCGAGAAACAAAAACTGAGGAGTTAGTTTCTTATCTTGTATCCCGTTAAAGACGGAAGCTCACACGATATCAGAGCAACACCTTAAGTCGGCCTGGTAATTCCAACACACTCCACAGGCGGTCATACAGTGTGACAGTCTGATAGACACTCAAACACTGCCATGTTCCCGTTTCTCGTACTATTGACGTTCAAGTATCTGTCTGCAGCCGTGTGAAGGGAACTGCGATAAATAACACTTCTTAAGATCGGATAAAGGAATACCCGTATATCGAACGCCATCCTCTCAAAATTCTAAGGATAAGGTTTAGTGTGGCCTTTGTAACATTAAGTAATCCAGGTAACATCAACATCTCTCAAACTAATTTTTTTTTCTTTTTTTTTTTTTTAGGAGGATGGGACATAAACTAATGCTTTGTTGGCAGGACACCTGGTGACAACGTGACCAACTCATGCTCAAATCTCTTCTGTGTTTTCGAACTTGGGTCGCGGGGTCACACGGTTCCATTCACGGTTGAACTTCAGAACGAGTAATGTGAGATTATATAGTCAGTAACCTGAAAATATTTTGTTACTTATATCAGAAGTCTAAAATGGTTGAAATCCTAGTTTTAAAAAGAATATTATAGTAATAATGCAAGCTTTATCCGCAACTATGGCTTTTTTTGTAACGTCCAAATCAAAAGACCTGCCAATGAAAGAAGAGCGATTATTATGCACTCTAATTTATAATGTATTCATGATGCTAAGGGTGAAGAGGTTTGTTCTCTGATCCCTTATGTGTTAAATAATAGGTTGATCAATCGGCAAGAAGTCTGTCAAAATAATTAGGTCTTGTACCACACGTGTAAAATATTTAACTCGTACCACACGAGCTTTTACATTACAATCAATTTCTTTGGTTATGTTTGGTGCACTGCTTGTCTACGATCCACATCTAAGGTGCCAGTTTCGAAATAACATACAACTAAACGTTAGTTTTTTTTTTCATTTTTATTTTTTTTTCATTTTAATTTTTGTTGAGATACCGTGTCCGTGTATATAGTTTTGTTTTTCATGGAGATCAAGCAATGAGTGGGTTACCCGCTGTTTATCTTTATGGTAACTAAGACTTTCTCTAAACAAAACTTGCAGTGCCTGAATGAATCTGGATCCTGATTTTAATTTATATTTATCGCTATTCTATCTCAATAACGGCGAGGTATTATACTACAACAATGGTTATTCTCTTGACTTTAAAGAGACCTCGTAAATGCAAATGCTCAGATTGCGAAATGTCAAGCCTCCTCGCATTGTATTATTTTTGAATTTCTATCGTATTTCTATTGCTACCTCATCCAACGCAGGCCCTACCTACAATAAAAAATTTCCTTCCTTCCTTCCTTACTTCCTTACTTCCTTCCTTCCTTCCTTACTTACTTCCTTACTTACTTCCTTACTTCCTTCCTTACTTACTTACTTACTTACTTACTTACTTACTTACTTACTTACTTACTTACTTACTTACTTACTTACTTACTTACTTACTTACTTACTTACTTA